GAAACATTTTACGTACGTACCCATAGAATTCAAAGCCACAACTTTTGCACTTTGGCACACTGACTCTGTCAGACATCCATTAACAATACATGCTTTTGAGGCGGCCGAGGGATGGCCTCCGGGGCGGTCTATTTGCCTGTCACTCACAAAGTTTATTCATAAAGTAACTGCACAGCTAGTTGCTGTCAACTCTAGTGAATCAAACCAAAATTTACTGTATGTACTCTGCCATATTCATAAACCATTAATCAATCTGAAGGGTTGATCGAGTGTATAATCGACTGATGACCCTATTTTGGCTTGTGTGCGCGCGGTGCGCTCGCACGTGCAACTCGTCGCGCGCGTGCAGCTAGCTCTTCACATACAGTACTGCATGCTGATTGGCTAATCGTCATTTGTTTAATGGGGTTAAATCTGGTCGCTGGTGATCGCTAAGTGATTATTCATTACTTCCCGAACCACTGCGTGCTGTAATTGGTTGTATGTAAATGAAGTGATGATATCATAGCTCATTAAACTTTGTCACCTAGCCTGTGCATACTTATTGTAATGTGTATAATTGGATGTAGGTTAGCGCTGGTTCAAGTACAGCGGTTAGTTTTTCGGAGGGCCATAATCAGGCAAATCACATCCGCTCAAAGATCTTAAGGGAATGTCGGGCAGCAACAACTACGTCGCCAGCGGGTGTGAATGCCATTCCTAATGGATTGAACAACCCTTGAGCTACTGTTGCTACAAATGCAACATTTGAATCGTAACGCTGCACTTCAGGGTCGCCCCTTTTGCCAGAATGAACAGCGACATAGATGGTCTCATCATCATCACACAGGACACCAGCTGGCTGAGCAGCTTTGCCATTCACTAATGTCTTGACATTGAACATCTCTTTACCTTCAAAGTTGACGCACAGCAAACTTTTGCCCTCGTAGTTTGTGAGGACTAAACAGCCAAAATTGCTTATTGCCAAGTAATTGCTAACCATGTTATTTGAGATGCTTGCAATCAACGATCCATCCAGGTTGTGGACACTGATGACCTTTCTTCCCCTGTCAGCGACTGCTACTCGTTGACTGTCAACAGCAACAGCAGTGAGGCTACTCTCTGATCGCTCATCGACATCGTCAGCCAAAGGTGTAAACTCGCGAACAAAGTGGAGCTCAGTGTCCAAAACCTTCACCCTTCATCATGGGACACCGCAACGCCCCGAGGAGCTTCCAACTGATGCCTAGCATCTCCCTGAGCGACCGATGTTTTATACCGACCAGTTGAGCTAAACAACGATAATCGTTTCAAATTTACGTCAGTTACTACAATGTCCCCGTTTGTGAAACATGCAACATCCCTGACTCCTTGAAATTTCCCGTCACCATTACCTTCTTTGCCGAACTCTTCCTTTAACTGCCATTTCTCGCTGACACAGACCTCCCCAAGATCTGCATCACTAACAACATCTTGACATCTGACACCGATGAACGCTGGACCATGATTCACCGGCTCACACTTGAGCTCTTTCTGGAATTCCAAGTTGTGCATCACCTTCGGCTTGAGCTCCAAAAGCTCGAAATCATCGGCTTGACTCATCAAGTCATTTACTGCCGCGATGGTCTGATCTGCGCGTTCCATCTGCTCACGGTTGTGCGTGAGCGCCTTTTTGTACACACTGTCTCTCTCCTGACCAATTTCGTCGACCCTTTTGGTGAGAAGCTTTGCTTTGTTTCTGATTTTAGTGATCTCTGCCTCCGCTTTTGCATCAATATCACTACGAGCCTGAGCCAGTTTTGTTTGCAATCTATTTCGTGCATGTTCAATAGACTTTTCAGTAGATTTGAAGTGCTGCCTGCTCTTCTCAAACTCCTGCAGTATGTTATTGACCTCACTGCGGAAGGACCTGATAGAGTCATCAATCTTTAGGAAATTGTGCTTTGCCGACCGATGATCTAATGCAGCACACAAAGAGCAGATTAAGGTGTCGCAGGTGTCACAGTAGAAATACAAAGGATGGTCGTTGTGGACCGTACACATTTGGGTGATGGGTTTGATATGTTCTGCTGGAGGCATCTTTGGTTTCTGCCAATCTCCCAGTGAAATGATTTTATGGTCTTTGGTGGACTTGACCCTCTCATGAGCTTCACGGCATTTCTGGCAGAGGTTATCACTACAGTCAAGACACAACGAAGTGGCCTTGCCTTCTCCACAGTCACATGTGGCGGTAGGTGCTGATGCTTCTCCTAATACCGCCTCCTGTTGTTGGACCTCATCGACAAGAGAACTAAGAAAGAAAGACGAAGAAAGACTCTGCAATCCTCTATCAGGAACTTGCATCTCTCTCCTGCAGACTGGACATGTTATCTTCTCTGCCTCTGGCTTCTGTTTGCTCATCATCTCTTCCAGACACTTCAGGCAAAAGCTGTGCAGACAGTCCAGCATCTTGGGATCCTTGAAACGACAGCAACAGATCGGACATTCCAGATGTCCCTGGCTGATCTTGTCCAAGACAGTTTTGGCTGCAGCCTCCGCCATATTTCAGATGTGACCTAATCAAAACAGAACAAAACATGTGTCTGAAAAAGTTCAAAATCATAACAAACAGGTGATTGCCCCATAGAGCTGTGCATCAGAGCCGGGTACCCGAGTACCCGACCAAGGAACCAGTTCCAGATTATGGAATCAAGTACCCGTAGCCAACTTTGCAAATTACTTAACTTCTCAGTCACTGAAAAAGAAATGTTTTGAATGTCAGTGGGAAAATGTCAAAATGAACAACAGGATACATGGAAAATCAAATCCAATTTCACATTTAACGATGCATTCGAAAGTTGCAGTTTTCACCACATAGCAAAAGAGCTCACTGTATACACCCTATCTAGCCGTAATGCAGCACCGATGTGGTAGTATTATTATGCGGACCTTTATAAACAATCTGAACAGCAACTTTTCAGATTTGAATGGTTGACTTGGGTTTCTTTAACGGGTACCCGTATTTTTTTCAACAGGGTACCCGGTTCCTTTACTGCCCGTAAGTGCACACCCCTATGTCCACATTTCTTTTGAAACACCGTACCAGCCTGGAAATCTAAATGTAACAGGAGATTCATTTGTATATATTGACTGCATGCTAACTCTTTGGGAGTTAAATATAATAAAATGGGAGTATAGCCCTAATGTAAAACAGGACCAAAGATATAGACTTAGATTTTAGACTTCGATTCAGAAAAGAGAATTCAATATTTTTTTTCTCTAAAAGCATCATGTTTATTTCAAACGTTGGTTGGAAGGAACACCATCTTCTCGCTCATCACATTTACTGAAATGCTAAATATTCCTTCAAATCTCATGCATAATTTTCCTGGTAGGCCTATAGGCTATATTTAACATGTTCAAAAACAAAGCGAACGCACGAAAAGAAAAGACTCGTGCAAAATCCAGCCAAAATGCTGTATGTAATGAACTCACCTACTTCAACTGGATCAACAGTTATAGCTGAAGAATTCCACCACAAACATAATACTTTCGCCAAATGTAAAAAAAAGTATGGCAAAACTACCATCAACTTGTAAGTTGTAAACCTTTTAGGCTTATAATGTGTACATGTCAGGCCTATACTTTATCCTCATGCAATGAATGGTGCAACAAAAGCTAAATTCCTTTACCGAACACAAGAAAAAACAGTCGCTATTTGTGTCACACAGTACCATAACAAAGCAACACTATGATCATGGTCTTTATTCAAGTTCAATATAGGCCCACATACGAACATACAAACAAGCACTGAAAATGCCATTGATTCAAGTTCACAGTTCAAACAGGCAACTCTGTCTACGGAAGCACAAAACGGACATTGCACAAATATCAACACTGCATGTGTTTTTATAACTGATGATGCATGTATTGTATACATGTATACCAATAGGATTTTATACTTTGAAAGATATGAAAATGGAAAAAGGAGGGTTAAAAATAAGAACTGCAAACGAGGATGTGTTAAAGTATCCAGGATATAAAGCTACCAATCAGGAAATATATACCCTACGTTTCACGCCTGCGTACTATTGGAGTGACTTTACCCAGTTGTAGTAGAAAGAATAGCACATGGTAAGGGTAAGGTGGCTTGGCTTAAATCCTGGACACAACAGAGATGCCACTTTTCAGGTTTTAACCTGAATTCAGGTTGTTTTTCAAATGTGACAACTTAAAAGTGCTGGATTTGGTCTGAAACATCCAGAAAACACATTTTTGAAAGGGGGTAAGGGTAGTTTCAGATTTTTAGTAGTGTTTCTGGCTATGTATTGATATATTGGTGGCATCTCTGACACAAGAAGAGCCCATTTTTTAAAGAACACCAGAGTCCAGCCACAAAATGATTGAGACCCAAGTAGGAACATTACAGCAAAAATAAAAACAGGAAAGTAACCCTTAGTACAGCTGGTCGGACTGCCTGTGAAATTATTCTCTCTGGCATTACATGCTGTTATTGTGAAGAACACAATAAAAGAAGGCCATTTCCAAAGATACAACAAGTGACACATTTTTGGAAATTTCCCTTAGTAGTTGGTTTGTAATTGGGCGAATCCGTGAATGGGTGCGCGCGCAAGCGTTGACACGACGAACACACGCGTGCATACATATCATTCATTGGTTCAGTGCGTGACATTGGGTAGCTACAATCAGCTGAATGAGAACATGTCTCGGATACTGATTTTGGGCACAATTCTAAGTATGACTCGGCAACTTTTGAATTGAAATCGAGACCCTAGAATACTGTTTCCGCTGAATACACAGCATTCACAGAGCTAAATCTTCATCAAGTTGTTACGCAACCGTCTTTAGATATTGAGCACTTTTGTTGCTTCAAACAAACAAAAATGCGCAAATGACAAATGATCTACCCTACCTTTAGTTTTCACTGATGCAAATTCTCAATTCCATCATATTTCAAAGGAAACAAGAGATAACTGTTTCAATCATTCTCTGACCTGTGCCTTTCTCTTTTTTTCAGGGCAAAGGTGAAATCCTGACGTACTGGCTTGAGGGACAGGATCCAAGCTACAAGATCGACAGAATCAAACCACCCAAACAAAACTTGTAAACATCTAGCATTATCCTAACATCATCTGCAACGGAAGTTACATAGTCCACTAAATAGCATTTAGATCAGCAATTATTTGTAAAGAGGCAAAAACCATAACCAGCAATCAATCTGAGCCAGAAATTATACCACAGTGTGTGTAGGTCTATTTGAAAAAGCTAACAACAAATTCAAATTAGCACACAGTTTTGTGTTCACCAACAGTTTTGTTGTTCACGAGAACAGCTTTCATTTAGCAACTTTAAGAAAAAAAGGTTTAAACGCACTTGTACTTATCACTAACTTTGATCAAGCCACTTATTTACAAAGACTGAAGTATTTTGAAGTGGCATTATAATCTATTACCATCTAGAAGTTCTAACAAAAATGACATCAAACAATCTAAAAAATGTTTTCATCAAAGAAACACACTTTGAGTTCAAACTGTTGAGAATCACTACTTTGGTATTAACTTGTATTCAAACTTCACAAAAAGAAGAAGAAATGTATACAACATCGAAAATTACTATGTAAACTATAATATATCAGACTAGTTCAAGAATCCAAAGTTTAAAGAAGAAGCAAGGCTTTTATAGATTTGTAACAAAGATGACACTTGAATTGTCATGGTATTGATTAGAACAAAATCAGCATTGTTATCATACAAAAAAAAAGCCTGACTAGAAACGAACTTTAAATGTACCCTTGTTAATTAATGCAATATGAGGCATGCAGCTGCAAAACAAAAATAGTAGAATGTGAGGACTCGGGTATTATTCACTTTTATAAATAAAGCTTTAGCAATTTTGGATGCACAGATTTTTATAAATTGGCATAGAAGTAAGATGTGTAACATGTGAGAATGTATACAGCAAAAAAATAAAACTTAATCAGACACTGGTGTATGGAGGATTTTCTATTGTTCCTCTTCGCTTTTCCTTTGTTTATACCTGAACTTTTTCGCAACAGCTCTCATTGGTTTTGTACACGTTTTCCAACAAACCAAGGAGTCCTCGATTTGGTTTCTGTCCTCGATGCATCGATGATATTGCACGTGTTCGTCCTCGATTTGCACCATAAATATGCACAGCATCCTTTTACGAAGCCATTTTATTGTTTTGTTTTGGTTTATTCACATTCGGAATTCAAAGTTGCCAATGCCAGATGGATTCGAATTCGATTTCTATGAAGATCAGCTTTTAAAAAGGATACTTTGACAAGGTTTGCAGTGAAATCAGTCAAAAATGTTATTGTTTTTCTCCAAAAATCGATGATTTTTGCCCAAAATCTTTAATAATAATTGGGTGTTTGAATGTTTATTGATGCTCCTCTTACCTTTAAAAAGAATTTCTGCATAGTTTGGAGAAAAGTCATTTTTTGGCCAAATTTCATTTAAAAAAGTGTTGTTTTTTTTCTTTCAATTTTGGCCAAAAAATGAAATTGCTTCAAATTGGCAGGAAAGATGCCTAAAGGACACTAGAATACATTCCAATTCGATTTCTGGACAGATAAGCTTTTAAAAAGGATAATTTGACAGAAATTTGCGGTAAAATCAGTCCAAAATGTTGTTTTTCTCCAAAACTTGATGATTTTTGCCCGAAAGCGTTAAAATATTGGGTGTTTGAATGTTGATTGATGCTCCTCTTACCTTGAACAGAATGTCTGCATAGTTTGGAGAAAAGTCTTTTTTTGTGTGCCAAATTTGATTAAAAAAGTAAGGCTAACCCCTTCTGTGTTTTTTTTTAAATTTTGGCCAAAAAATGAATTTGCTTCAAATTTGCTGGAAAGATGCCTGAAGGACCCTAGAACGCATTCCAATTTGATTTCTGGACAGATAAGCTTTTCAAAAGGATATTAATAGTCGCCCCTAGAGGTACAGATGGCGATTCGAGCATGTATACCTCTAGGGGCGATCACTAATATAGTCGCCCCTAGATGTACTGATGACGATTCGAGAATGATAAGGCGATTAATAGTCGCCCGTAGAGGTACAGATGGCGACTGAAGCATAGGGGCGATCATTAAAACTCGCCCGTAGAGGTACAGATGACGATTCCAGCATGTATACCTATAGAAGCGGGACTCTCTGTATCTGTATCACAAAAATGGTCATTTTCCCCTCTAGTTTCCCAACCCATTATTATTATTAATTATTAATGCAGATTTCATTAAACAAACCTCATTGTGTTTAATGGAATCTGGGTTGGGATTTTTTTCCGTGATACAGATACAGAGAGTCCCGTTTGTTAAAGCCTCTTAGAATCTATTATCTACAACATAGTTTTAGCTCCAGCTCTATGTCGAATTCCTGATGAGCATTGGAGCTGGAGTTACTCAAGATAGGGGGTTTCCCAAGCTAGAGTTTCTCAAGCTACACGATCGCCAAAACTTCAAACTCTTGTAGTTCTAAACTACACCAGTATTGCCGTTATTTATTGTATGGTTGTTGTTTTTTGTCCTTGTGGTTTTTGTTTGTCATAGTTCTTGGCTTGGGTACCTATGAAGACGAGAAGGCCACTAAGGCATACAAGGCGGTCATGATCTTAACGCCTAAGACCCGACAAGAACACCGGCTATGTGTACAAGGACTGGGCATGGAACGTCAGGATACTGTTCAACTCGCTCCATTCTTCGGAACTGGCAGATACGTAAGTCAAAGAAAATTTACAAACTAGCTTGATGAAATTAAATTACAACATTTGCAAACATCCCAAAACAAAACTGCCAAATTATTATGAAATACCTAACTTGACTGTAAGTGAATAATATTCTCTCATCCTGTGAAACCATTGTGATGTCATTTTTAAGAAAAATTGAGTTTTTGAATCCATTTCCAACGATGGTCGGCCTACCATCATTGGGAAAAAATGACTTTTAAAAAAATACTGCCCCTAATTCACCAAATTTAGTTAGTCCACAAGCCAGCTAGTCTGGTTCCTCGAAGGCTAGCTGACAATTTCTCGACATCTATAAATTGGTCCGTTTCATATAAAGTAGGGTCAGGCAACCAGACTACAAGAACAGCATTTTTTCTTGTTTTTTCCCCCAGCATCTATGAACAAAAAACTTGCAACAGGTGAGTGTAACAATATTTGCTATAAAAATACTAACCCCACAATCCATCCATTTCTGAAAATTACAGCAAAAGCAAAATGTTGTAAATTCCGTAAATCTCTGTCTGTCTGTCTGTATTTTGATTATCTTCAGAACCGGACACCGTATGAAGTTGAAAATCGGTGAGTGTATTGCTCGGGACCCCAGAATGTGCAGTGCCAAGTTTGAATTTGTTTGGATGAGCGGTTCTTGAAAAAGCTGCAAAAAAGCAACATTTTCTGAGGCAAATGCGGCAGTATTTATAGTCTAGACCACCACGCGCGCACTGCCGTCCTTTTCAATTGTTTATGTCATGCTGAAGTGAAAGCGTGCGTGCTCAATATGACGCAACACTGGAAAAAGGACAGGCACATGCATTGTAGGGCGATACCATTGTCCAGTATGGGTGAATAGCACTGCATACCATATGTTTCTGTATGTACGCGTACGTGGTGGCTGCACGGGAACATTATTTTTTGCAATCGACTGAGCGACCATTGTAGGCGGTCTACTGAGCAACCTTACGGCAAGGCAATACCATTGTCCAGTAGGGGTGAATGTCTGCAGCTTTTGTGAGAAGCAATCGCCCAAACAACTTCAAACTTGGCACAAACTTTGACGTGAGTGTGTGTTCAACCTGTCAAAACAACACCATTGAATCGCATGCGTTGTTTCACGAGCTGCTCTCAAAAACCCTGCAAGCATGCAACCAATACCAGCGGCAAAGCAATTTGCGCTTCCCGAACATGCACATTTTAGACGGGCACTGCACTAGTTTTTTCAATTATGAAATGCACTTTTTTTGGGGTTGCTGGTTCCACTTTTTTGACTCGCCCTGTATTTGTGTCAGGTTTTCAACCTCCGCGCCACTAAAACCTTTATATGAAGTTTGACTTAAAGCCCAACTGCAGCGGAAATCCACAACATATGCTGTCATCACCTGCCAGCCCCAGCCTATAGACTTCGTGCACAGGTACCCCTCGACGGTTATAACGGGAGAGTTGGGGGAGACCAATGGGAGGGACATTGTGGAGAGCTGTGGTCCAATGGTACGGTGTTCGACTCATGTGCTGTACTGCGTGGTTTCGAACCCTGATGGGGCACACGGTGCTTGTGTTCTTGGGCAAGACACTTTACTACATTTGCCTCTCTCCACCCAGGAGTATAAATGGGTACCTGTGAGGGTAGAGACCAGAAGGCGCTGACCTCGAGCTGCTGCAAAAACTGGTCTCATGGCCTGATGAACAGGGGTAATAATTGTGAAGCACTTTGAGACCTTTCGTATAATGTGATATATAAGCACCACGTTGTTATTCTTACATTTGAACGCATTACACCTGACGCTCACGCGAAGAAGCTAAGGGTTGGTGCAAATCCAGAAAAAAAAATAATCTTGCGCATTTCACGCCATATGTGCACGCATCAGACTACGTGCACGTGATGTGTCTCTCCAACTAGGGCTCTCGAAAGTTGTCAAAAGCGCGCTTTTCTGTTGGTGCGAGGAGTCCATAGGTCTACGATCAGGCCTGGCTAAGCATGCACTTAAGGCCTAGTACATGTATGAGATACAGGAGATTTCTTCAGTCAGATTTGGGGCTGCATTGTGTGACAACTTTGTCTATGGTTTGGGTTATTTTGACAGTCTCACAGCTGGGGGGGGGGGTCCACCCCCCTTAAGATCTCGGCCATCGAGTGAAGAAAAATATCCAAATCGGTACGTGCATAGATCAAATCAGCATGAACATACCCATTTTCACCATTAACGTCTTGTTGTCAACTTGCCAGGTCGTTAACTTGTTGAATGCCTTGTACACGCTGTTCGACGCCATCATTTCCAACTATGACGTTTACAAGGTAAATATTCCAAATTGCCCAGCAAATTGTTTTAGGCCAAACTTGCAACAAAATTTCAATCACAGGACGTTAAATGTGTTATTAGCTAATAGTTCCAAGTTATATTAAGACTAAAAAAAAAGATGTATTCAACAATCTAGGAAAGAAGAAAGCCACACATGTTTTCTATTATATCTGAAAGCAAAATTAACCAATAATGAATGATAACGTCTTACAAAGGTTGAAACCATCGGTGATGCCTACATGTTGGTCTCCGGCCTACCGCTCCGTAATGGCAACCGTCATGCCGGTATGATCGCCTCGGCTGCATGGCATCTCCTGGAGGGTGTTAGTAGTTTCATCGTGCCGCACAAACAAGAGGAGAAACTCAAACTCCGAATCGGTATTCACTCAGGTAAGATCGTTGTCTTTGCTTGTGGTCGAGGTACTCATGATGGATCGCAACTACATCACAAGTCCAGTCACAAGTACATCACAAGTCTAGTCACAAGTCCATCACAAGTCCAGTCACAAGTCCATCACAAGTCCAGTCACAAGTACATCACAAGTCCAGTCACAAGAACATCACAAGTCCAGTCACAAGTACATCACAAGTCCAGTCACAAGTATACATCACAAGTCCAGTCACAAGTACATCACAAGTACATCACAAGTCCAGTCACAAGTACATCACAAGTCCAGTCACAAGTACACCATTAGTCCAGTCACAAGTACCTCACAAGTCCGGTCATAAGTGAATCACAACTTCAAGCTCTGCTCAAGCTATTTGTGCTTGAGAATGTTGTGTATGTATGATGATTTCTTCATTGTTTTGGACTTTTTTCAAGGATCTTGTGTAACGGGTGTAATTGGCCTGACCATGCCTCGGTATTGCCTCTTTGGTGACACGGTCAACACAGCATCTCGTATGGAGTCTAATGGACTTGTTAAGTAGAATCTTGTGACACAAGACAGCTCAAACTATGTTGTCATATCAATAGGTCTCATTCAAATGACGTCATTCAGCGGCGGCGGAACGGGTTTGAAACTGGGGGGGCATCACCAAAAAGTGGCACTTGCAAACCGTACTGAAATGTCGACACGTTTTTTTTCACCGGACACTTGGCCTCTGTAAAATCCCATAGTAGGGGGGGGGGGGGGGGGGGGGGGGGGGGGGGGGGGGGGGGGGGGGGGGGGGGGCTGGTCTGGTACCATCTTGCAACATAGGGGGCGCTCTTCAAAACCAATGATTATATGCTAAATATGCATTATGTGCCCATTTTCAGGCCGTATTGTATGGGTTTTGGGACTTGGTTTCCATATTCCTCGTTTATATAGAAAAATATATATACCATTATTCGGATATGGTGACTTCTAAGAAATATAGGTTTTTTCGGTCAATTTCGGCAAATGACCAGCCAATTTAATTTTCGTGCGTTCGAATTGAAGCTATTTTGCCTCTCCAGTTGTTACTGCGTTTCAAATTCAGAATTTGGCCATTCAATTTCGTTATGAGGCATTCAAATTCCTTTAGCACTGTGTTCAATTTAGCATATCGTCATTCTTTTTCGTGACACACAATCATCATTCAATTTAGCAAAGCTGGTTCGACTGGAGATTTTACTGATTTAATTTTTTTCAATTTCGTAAAGAGGCAATCAATTTCGCTTAAAGAGAATTCAAATAAGTACGACTAAAGATTTACGAGTAATCAGATAAACTGTACTAGGCAACTGTTTCGTATCTTCACTTTAATTCAGGCAAACCTTGTTTTCTTTATTTATGCTTCCAGTAGACTTTACATGGGGCCAATGAGGTTTTTTCTTCTTCTTTGTTTTCTTCTTCATTCTGTTTTTGGGGGGGGAATCTTTATTGGTTAACTGACCAAGACCTAATTTTGTATTGTGTTTGAATGGGGTGTTTCTTTATATTTTCCTGGCATTTTATTGTTTATGTTGTTTCTTCCTCAACCATCAATCTGTTGGCGTGCCAGACATCTTGGCATATATGTTTGGGTATGGTTGTACCACTGCATGCACTTCACTTGGGTGATGACATCAACGCTCTGGATAGCTGCTTGTTGAAGGAGATCGCACCTCCACTGCTGCATGTTCATTCCTGCTTGCTGGGCAGCCTGTCTGTCTCCGACACGTTGTTGCCACTCAGGTAACCCAAGGATGCGTTTAACTGCAGCCTTGAATGCAGAGTGTGCCATCTCCGTGCTGTTCAGGAATGGGGAGTAGGGAGGGAGGCGCTTCAGCTGGATCATTGGGTTGGCACCTTCAGGGAGTTGGGCTCGCACGTGAGGCCTCGCATTGTCATATATGAGGTAAATGGGTTCGTCGTCTGGGAAAACTGCATCACACTCTTGAATTGTGTCCGCAAGAAACTCCTCGAATCTCTCTCGCGTCACAGTTTCGAATGCGATTCGGTGGTGCACCAAGCCTACTTCACTAGAAACAGCGAAGGTGACATTGCAATTTCTCCCTCGTTGTCTGTAGACGACTCGTCTTGCAGCGATCCCTCGTGGAGCTCTACCCTGGGAGCGTCGAGTCCAGACGTTATAACCTGTCTCGTCAATGAAGACTAGACGCGCCAGAACACCATGCTGCAGGAACCACTCACAATACTGGCAGTGGCGTAGCCAGGAATTTTTCAGTGGGGGGGGGGGGGGGGGGGGGGGGGGGGGGGGGGGGGGGGCGCAGGGGGGGGGGGGCTGGAACATTTCATGGGGGGGAGCAAGCAGGGGCGTCAATCGCTTCTCAAAAGTGGGGGGGGGGACATACCTTGATCATAACTGAATGATATGATGAAGCGCGAAGCGCGAAGCGCGAAGCCCTTACGGCGTGGGGTTCGGGGCCCGCTTGAGGGCCCCGAAAGAAAAAAAGGATTCTAGATGTTCTGTGGTGTGATTTGAAGCAATTTTTCACGACTTTCCTCCATGCTTTAATTATATTTTCTTGGCAAAAGATAATTATTTGAACATCGTTTTCGAGGTTGGAGACATTGAATCAGCTATCGGTATTCTGAGCTATTGGCGTGGGGTTCGGGGCCCGCTTAAGGGCCCCGAAAAAAATTGGATTTTCGATGCTCTGTGGTGTGATCTGAGGCAAATTCTTACCACTTTAACCAATAATTATCTTAGCTCAAAAGATAATAATTTAAACCTAATTTTCGAGGTTTTCTCAGCTAAAGGCATAAGAACATTTTGTGAACATTGTTTTCGAGGTTGGAGTCATTGAATCAGCTACCAGAATTCTGAGCTATAGGCGTGGGGTTCTGGGCCCGCTTAAGGGCCTTGAAAAATTTTGGATTCTAAATGCTCTGTGGTGCTATCTGAGGCAATTTCTGACCACTTTAACCAATATTTTCTAAGCAAAAGATACATTGTAGTACACTGTTAAAAAAATATCTGTTTATTAACAGTTGATTCTATTGTCAATTGGCATTACAGGAGTTACTGTTTTTGCACAGTATATTCTACTGTTTCTTTTTTCTCTGTACATTAACAGCAGATTCTACTTTATTTGATATTGCTCAATTACAGGGGATTCTACTGTTTTGCAACAGATGATTAAGTGTTGTCGTTTTGTAACCTAAGGCCAAAAAAAAAAATAAGTCGGTCTCTGGTCAGCGCGCGCGTCGATTTTAAGCATGCGCGTCGATCTTTTTTTTTTCCAAAATGTTCCGCGGTAGCTCCAACAGCGCCCTCTATTTCCGCACCTCCTCAATTTTTTTTTTACCAAAGAGCACCAAGGAATGGGAAAACTGCACCAAGGCAAATGATCGAAAGCACCAAGGCAAATTATGGAGGCCACCAATGTTCATGAGGACACCAAAAAAGCAAAATAGTACCCACTTTGTCTGTACAATCCAAGCTGAACAAAAAAAAAAAAAGGAAAAAAAAAAAAAAAAAAGCCGCGTGGCCGCATCAATTCCGGAACTTTGGTCTGACCAGAGACCGAATATTTTTTTTTTTTGGCCTAACAGCACGTTCGCTGTTTTTGTTTATCCTTAACAACTCTCTGTAACTGAACAGCAGGTTGTTTTTGTTTAAACGGTGATTATTTGATGGGGGCCGATAAGCGACAAAGTGTTCATGTTTGTATCAAGGATTGCAAATGACAGGTCCTGTGTGAGCTTCAGCCCCCCGGTGGCTACGCCACTGCATACTGGACGAGTTGATCAAGAACTTCAGGGGAATTTCTTGCATCAGGGACGTCCTCCACTAGTTTTAGTGTAATCATCATTCCATCCTAGGCCCTGGCTATGGTGGCAGTAGAAACCTGGGGCTTCTCTGGCAGATGCTCACTCAAACTAGCCTTCATTTGTTGAAGTGTCAAGACGGGATTAGCGTCAAGGATGCCTTGCAGATGGTTTCGCATGTCATCATCCATCTTGCTGTGGGTTGCTCCTCCTCTTGCCAGCGTCTCTCGCCTTCCAGTCCTCAAATATGTTGCAACAATTGATCTGGCTCTGGACTTGTTGATGTTCAAATTGACCGCAAGCTGAAGGTAGTCTTGCTCGTTTCCCTCGAAGGCCTCAATCAACCGTTCTCGATCTACCTGGGCCACTCTAGCGTAGCGACCACGATCTGCCATTTCTAGAAATATGCGTGTAAAACTGTAGCGAAAGCTCGTCTTCGAAGTACATCGGCAAAGTGACTCAAGTGCCAAAAAGTGAACCGTATTTATGCCTTCAACATTCTTAAGGCAACAAAAATTTAACAAAGCCTTTTTTAGATTGCACAAATTCCAGAAATGACTGCCCAAAAAATGAATTTGAATGACTAAACACACGCCTCAAAAAGCTCCTGCGAATTTGAATGCTGCTTTGTTGAATTGTTAAATTGCATGATTATTTTGTTAAATCGAATGACGCAACAGTACATTTGACTGGTCATAAAACGAAATCGAATGACCCTTTTCAGTAGCATTTGATTTCGCGCGAAATAGAATAGCGTAGTGGTTAAATTGGCTGCTCATTTGCCAAAATTGACCGAGAAAACCTATAGTAAAATACTTTAAGGGCACTTTTTTTTTCTTGAGGAGGCACTTTACTGTTCGAGGGGGCACATTTATGGCCGCAAAAGGGGCACTTGGGAAAATCTGGGGGGCAAATCAGCAAAAAGAAAACAATTCACACCGTTTTGCTGTGGGGGAGGTGCCCCCCCCCATCCCCCCCCCCCCGGTTCCGCCGCCCCTGACGTCATTTTCTACAGACCTTCCACGTGCATCGGCATTTTGGGCGTCAACTTGCATAACGTGCATCGGCGGGTTGCGTTTTTAACACATTTCGAGCAACAAGTGGGCGTGTTTGGAACATGTTCAACACTGCGTAATGCTCGTTCCTTAAACTAACCCCTGGCTGTGATGATGACGTAAATGACGCTGAATGGCTATTCACAGCGTACTGCGCGCGCATTTCGAAGATTGCACGCCGGGCACGCCCATTTGCACGTAACGTCACGTACGAAAAAAGAATTATGATTCAAAAGTCGCGATGCCTGAACGATATGGATTATGTCAGCCGCGTTTTTCGCTAACAAAAACCTGTATCTGTGGTTGTAAAGGCACAAAAGGGGTACATACATTTAATACAAATCTTTGCTAATTAACACAACGTCCAAACGTTGTGTTTGAAAGGATTGATTCTTCAAAATCACAACTTTTAACATTTTAAAGATGGCGTCGGCACGTAAAACGGATAATTATTATGTGCCATATTTTGGCCCATTTAAATTACACAATTTCAGGGGTTATAATCGCGCAAGGCATGATGGGAAACAACATGGCGCTGCAAGATCGTACCCACGGGGCACGAGGTTGTATAAACTGGCAAGTGGGCCCCCCCCCCACATTTTCCGTCCCCCCCCCCCCCAGCATCATGTTTAAAACAAACGTTGGTGGGAAGGAACGCTAAACATTTGTGAGAATCTCATGCATTATTTTCCTGATTGGCCTGTACGCTATACTTAACATGTTCAAAAACTAAGCGAAACGTACGAAAACCAAAGACTCATGTAAAATCCAGTCAAAATGCTGTATGTAATGAACTCACCTACTTCAACTGGATCAACAGTTAGCTGAAGTTTTCCACCACAATTACTTATTCCTCCAAATGTAAAAAAAAGTGGCAAAACTACCATCAACTTGTAAGTTGTAAGCCTTAGGTTTGTACGTGTACATGTCAGGCCTACTTCCTCATGCAATGAATGGTGTAACAACAGCTTCACTCCTTTACTCAACACCGGAAAAACCAGTCGCTATTTTTGTCACACAGTACCATAAAAATAGCAACACTATGATAATGATCTATATTCAAGTTCAATATAGGCCTACATACGAACACCCAAACAGCACTGAAAATGCCATTGATGATTGATTCAAGTTCACAGTTCAAACAGGCAACTCTGTCTACGGAAGCACATAACGGACATTGCACAAATATCACCACTGCATGTGTTTTTATAACTGATGATGCATGTATTGTATTCATGTATACCAATAGTATTTTATACTTTGAAAGATATGAAAATGGAAAAAGGAGGGTTAAAAATAAGAACTGAAAATGAGGATGTGTTAAAGTATCCACGATATAAAGCTAAAAATCAGGAAATATATACCCTACAATTCATGCATGCCCTCTATTGGAGTGACTTTACCCGGTTGTAGTAGAAAAATAGCACATGGTGGGGGTAAGGTGGCTTGGCTTAAATCCTGGACACAACAGAGATGCCACTTTTTTAGGTTTTAACCTGAAATCAGGGTTTTTTTTGTAATGTGACAAATTAAAAGTGATGGATTTGGTCTGAAACATCCAGAAAACACACCTGTGAAAGGCGTAAGGGTAGTTTCAGGTTTTTAGTAGTGTTTCAGGCTTTTTATTGATATATTGGTGGCATCTCTGACACAAGAAGACCCCATTTTTTAGAGAACATCAGAGTCCATCCACAAAATGATCGAGACCCAAGTAGGAACATTACAGCAAAAATAGAAATAGAAAAGCAACCCTTAGTACAGCTGGTCGGACTGCCTGTGAAATTATTCTCTCTGGCATTACATGCTGTCATTGTGAAGAACACAATAAAAGAAGGCCATTTCCAAAGATATGTCAAGTAACACATTTTTGGAAATTTCCCTTAGTAGTTGGTTTGTAATTGGGCGAATCCCTGAATGGGTGCGCACAAGCGGTGACACGACGAACACACGCGCGCATACATATCATTCATTGGTTCAGTGCGTGACATTGGGTAGCTGCATCAGCCGAATGAGAACGTGTCTCAGATGCTGATTTTGGGCACAATTCAAAGTATGACTCGGCAACTTTTGAATTGAAACCGAGACCCTAGAATACTGTTTCCGCTGAATACACAGCATTCACAGAGTTAAATCTTCATCAAGTTGTTACGCAACCGTCTTTAGATGTTGAGCACTTTTGTTGCTTTAGTTTTCACTGCTGCAAAGTCTCAATTCCATCATATTTCAAAGGAAACAAGAGATAACTGTTTCAATCATTCTCTGACCTGTGCCTTTCTCTTTTTTTCAGGGCAAAGGTGAAATCCTGACATACTGGCTTGAGGGACAGGATCCAAGCTACAAGATCGACAGAATCAAACCACCCAAACAAAACTTGTAAACATCTAGCATTATCCCAACATCATCTGCAATGGAAGTTACAAAGTCCACTAAATAGCATTTAGATCAGCAATTATTTGTAAAGAGGCAAAAACCATAACCAGCTATCAATCTGAGCCAGAAATTATACCACAGTGTGTGTAGGTCTATTTGAAAAAGCTAACAACAAATTCAAATTAGCACGCAGTTTTGTGTTCACCAACAGTTTTGTTGTTCACGAGAACAGCTTTCATTTAGCAACTTTAAGAAAAAAAAGGTTTATAAACTAACTAACTTTGATCAAGTCACTTATTGACAAAGACTGAAGTATTTTGAAGTCGCATTATAATCTATTACCATGTAGAAGTTCTAACAAAAATGATATCAAACAATCTAAAAAATGTTTTCATCAGACAAACACACTTTGAGTTCAAACTGTTGAGAGTCGCTACTTTGGTATTCAAACTTCACAAAAAAAAGAAATGTATATAACATCGAATATTACTATGTAAACTGTTATATATCAGTCTAGTGCAATAATCCAAAGTTGAAAGAAAAAGCAAGGCTTTTATAGATTTGTAACAAACATGACACTTGAATTGTCATGGTATTGATAAGAACAAAATCAGCATTGTTATTATACAAAAAAAGCGTGACTATAAACGAACTTTAAATTTACCTTTGTTAACTAATGCAATATGAGGTATGCAGCTGCAAAACAAAAATAGTAGAATGTGAGGACTCGGGTGTTATTCACTTTTATAAATAAAGCTTTAGCAATTTTGGACGCACAGATTTTTATAAATTGGCATAGAAGTAAGATGTGTAACGTGAGAATGTATACAGCAAAAAAAATAAAAACCAATCAGACACTGGTGTAAATGGAGGATTTTCTATTGTTCCTCTTCGCTTTTCCTTTGTTTATACCTGAACTTTTTCGCAACAGCTCTCATTGGTTTTGTACACGTTTTCCAACAAACCAAGGAGTCCTCGATTTGGTTTCTGCCCTCGATGCATCGATGATATTGCACGTGTTCATCCTCGATTTGCACCATAAATATGCACAGCATCCTTTTACGAAGCCATTTTGTTGTTTTGTTTTGGTTTATTCACATTCGGAATTCAAAGTTGCCAGATGGATTCCAATTCGATTTCTATGAAGATCAGCTTTTAAAAAATATATTTTGACAAGGTTTGCAGTGAAATCAGTCAAAAATGTTATTTTTTTTTTTCTTCAAAAAATCGATGATTTTTGCCCAAAATCTTTAATATAATTATTGGGTGTTTGAATGTTAATTGATGCTCCTCTTACTTCTAAAAGAATTTCTGCATAGTTTGGAGAAAAGTCATTTTTGGTCAAATTTCATTTTAAAAAAGTGTTGTTTTTTTTCAATTTTGGCCAAAAATGAAATTGCTTCAAATTTGCTGGAAAGATGCCAGAAGGACCCTAGAACGCATTCCAATTTGATTTCTGGACAGATAAGCTTTTAAAAAGGATATTATATAAGAAGATATTAATAGTCGCCCGTAGAGGTACAGATGACGATTCGAGCATGTATACCTCTAGGGGCGACCATTAATAGTCGCCCGTAGAGGTACAGATGGCGATTCCAGCATGTATACCCCTAGGGGCGATCTACTAATATAGTCGCCCCTAGAGGTCCTGATGATGATTCCAGCATGTATACCTATAGAAGCGGGACTCTCTGTATCTGTATCACAAAAATGGTCCTTTTTTCCCTCTAGTTTCCCAACCCATTATTATTATTATTAATTATTAATAATGCAGATTTTATTAAACAAACCTCATTGTGTTTCATGGAATCTGGGTTGGGATTTTTTTTCGTGATACAGATACAGAGAGTCTATAGTATTAGAATCTAGTATCTACAACATAGTTTGAGCATGAGCTCCAGCTCTATGTCGAATTCCTGATGAGCATTGGAGCTGGAGTTACTCAAGCTAGGGGGTTTCCCAAGCTAGAGTTTCTCAAGCTACACGATCGCCAAAACTTCGAACTCTTGTAGTTCTAAACTACTCCAGTATTGGCGTTATTTATTGTACGGTTGTTGTTTTTTGTCCTTGTGGGTTTTTGTTTGTCATACTAGTTCTCGGCTGGGGTACCTATGAAGACGAGAAGGCCACTAAGGCATACGAGGCGGTCATGATCTTAACGCCTAAGACCCGGCAAGAAGACCTATGTGTACAAGGACTGGGCGTGGGACGTCAAGGATACTGTTCAGCTCGCTCCATTCTTCGGAATTGGCAGATACGTAAGTCAAACAAAATATACAAACTAGCTTGATGAAATTAAATTAAGGTAGTGTATATTTTGCCGGAGGTAACGCCGGCAAACTAACGTTTACTAAAGGTTTGCCGGCGGCAATCCATATCAACAGAGGGCGCTGTACTCTTTAAGATAGGGCTGAATTATAATATGTATTAAATTCCCACCAAAGTTGTGTAGCACAGTTGGTGCAGTGGTTAAGCAGAAGCTCTTGAGAGTGGGATGTCCCGAGTTCGAATCCTGATCCCGCCACAATTTTAAGGGTTTTTTTTCCATCCCCAAATAAATAAGAATATTCTTCTTTTATTATTTTAATATGTCTCAAACATTTTATTGCAGAGTATTACTTTTTCTTTTTCAGATTTGTGGCTCTGGAGGATTTTTTTTAAAGGGAAATAAAGTCCGAAATTATAAAATGGTCTGATTCCCATCTTGTTAATACAAAAATACAACGATAATATTGGCATGGAGCCAGACTAAAATTTGTCACCGGAAAATGTTTAAGTACAAAAAAACAGTAACTGCGCATGTTCAGTGCATATCCGGCAAACTAACGTTTACTGAAGGTTTGCCGTCTCCGGCAAAATATCCACTGCCTTAAATTAAAGGTAATATACAACATTTGCAAACATCCAAAAACAAAACTGCCAAATTATTATGAAATACCTAACTCGACTGAAAGTGAATAATATTCTCTCAAGCATCCTATGAAACCATTCAGGTGTGAAGTCAGTTTTAAGAAAAGTGGAATTTTTGAATCCATTTCCAATGAGGGTCGGCTGACAATCGACTTCTTTTTTTTTTTAAATACTGCCCCTAATTCACCAAGTTCAGTAAGTCCACAAGTCAGCTAGTCGGTTCCCTGATCTGACAATTCCTCGACATCTATAAATTGGTCAGTTTCATATAAAGTAGGGTCAGGGAACCAGACTACAAGAACAGCATTTTTTTTCTTGTCTAACTATAATTCTGTAAATCTCTGTCTGTCTGTCTGTATTTTGATTATCTTCAGAACCGGGCACGGTATGAAGTTGAAAATCGGCGGACGTGTATTGCTCAGGACCCCAGAATGTGCAGCGCCAAGTTTGAATTCGTTTGGATGAGCGGTTCTTGAAAAAGCTGCCAAAAAAGCAACATTTTCTGAGGCAAATGCGACAGTATTTATAGCCTAGACCACCTCGCGCGCACTGCCATCCTTTTCAATTGTTTACGTCATGTTTAACCCTAGAAGGGCCGGTTTATTTGGACCATATCTCAGCCGGGGGGGGGGGGGGGGGGGGGGGGGGGGGGGGGGGGAATCCTCCCCCCCCCAAGATCTCGGCCATCGGGTGACAAAAAATTTTGAAACTCAGTACATGCATAGAGCAACTCTTCATAAACATACCCAAGAAATTTCATGTCTATAGGTCAAAGGCTTTGGAATTATAGCTAATTAATTATTCATTAGTACGAATGGCAATTCTACTCTGTGTACACGACGTATGCAGAAAAATTCAATTTGCACCACGCATAGTGCTGGAAAATTTTTCACTGTGCGGCAACCTGTGATCCGATTTTATGTTTTTGGTATCAAAAGATGCGCAAGGCTCGAGGCTAAAAGTCATAACAGCTCGGGTCGCCCTGTATTTGTGTCAGGTTTTCAACCTCCGTGCCACCAAAATCTTACCCCCATGATGAAGTTTGACAAAAAGCCTGGCTGCAGCAGAAATTCAAAACATATGCTGTCGTCACATGCCAGCCCCAGCCTATAGACTTCGTGCACAGGTACCCCTCGACGGTTATAACGGGAAAGTTGGGGAAGACCACGGGAGGGACATTGTGGAGAGCTGTGGTCCAATCATAGGCGTAGCCAGTGGGGTGGGGAGGGGGGGGGGGTAAGGGGGATATAAACCCCTCAATAATTTGTCAAGACTGCCATTTTCTGTTCAAATGCCCTTTTTTTCACCAGCGCTTAACCCCCCCCCCATATTTGTGAAGAGTGCCCTTCTTTTGTTAACAAGTGCCCGTTTTTTTCTGAACAAGCACCCCCATACCCCCCTCCCCCCTATGTGATTTCATGGAGGCCAATTGTCGGGAGAAAAAACCTGTCTACATTTCAGCATGGACGTGCAAGTGCCCTTTTCAAGACATTTTTACCCCCCCCCCCAATAAAAATGACTTTGATACGCCCCTGCCAATGGTAACAGTGTTCAACTCGTGTGCCATGGTACTGGGTTCGAACCCTGACAGGAAACATGGTGCTCGTAAGACAATTATTGCCTCTCTCCACCCAGGAGTATAAATGGGTACCCGTGAAGGTAGAGACCAGAAGGCGCTGATCTCGAGCTGTTGTAAAAACTGGTCTCATGGCCTGATGAACAGGGGTAATAATTGTGAAGCGCTTTGAGACCTTTGGTATAATGCGCTAAGCACCACATTATTATTGTTACATTCGAACGCATTGCAGCTGATGCTCACGCGAAAAAGCTACGGGTTGGTGCAAATCCACAAAAAAAATAATCTTGCGTATTTCGCGCCATATGCGTGCGCACCAGACAACGTGCACGTGATGTGTCTCCCCAACTAAGGCTCTTAAAAGTTGTCAAAATGCGCCCTCTGTGTTTGTGAATGGAGTCCATAGGTTTATGATCGGGCCTGGCTAAGCATGCACTTAAAGGTACAGTCCATCATTTGTAATTTGTGCATTTTGTTCGTTTGAAGCAACAAACGTGCTCAAAATCTAAAGAAAGGTGCTAAACAACTAACTTGATGAAGTTTCAGCTTAGCTGCAGCTGTATATTCCGAGAAAAACAGCATTCTAGGATCTCAATTTCAAATCAAAGTTGCTGAATCATGTTTTGAATTGTTCCTGAATGCAGTGTCCGAGACACGTTCTCACTGAGCAGCTACACGATGTCGCGCACCGAACTAACGAATTGTAGCAACCGTGCGCGTATGTGCGTTGTGTCAACGCTTGGGCGCACTTCGCCACATAAAAAAACAAACTACTAACGGAAATTTCCAGCAATGCGTCTTTAGACACACCGTTGGAAAGGCCTTCTTTCGTTGATTTCTTCAAAATGACAGCTTGCCAGAAAGAAGAATTTCACAGGGAGTTTAGTCCCCTTACTATCTTTCAACTGAGTATGTTTTTCAACAATAATTACATCAGTTACTTTTTGGATAGCTGCAAATGATGGACTGTAGCTTTAAGGCCAAGTACATGTATGAGATACATGAGATTTCTTCAGTTAGATTTGGGGCTTCAATTGTGTGGCAATTTCGTCTATGGTTTTGACTTAAGGTCTAAATTTATTCTTAAACCACCTTTTCATATACGCCTTTTCATCGTCCATTGCGTAAATTTAGTTGCATGTATAGTTTTATAGGTACCGATATACAAACCAAATTGAAAAGCGGCTTAATGTATTCAAATTTTTTCAAATTGTCATCTCAAATTACTGCAAACCAAACCTATCCCCGCATTTTCACCATTAACGTCTTGTTCTCAACTTGCCAGGTCGTTAACTTGTTGAATGCCTTGTACACGCTGATCGACGCCATCATTTCCAACTATGACGTTTACACAAGGTAAATATTCCATATAACCCAGCAGATTGTTTTAAAACCAAACTTGCAACAACATTTAAATCACAGGACGTTAAATTTGTTCTTAGCTAATAGTTCCAAGTTACATTAAGACTAAAAAAAAAGATGTATTCAACAATCTAGGAAAGAAGAAAGCCACACACGTTTTCTATTATATCTGAAAGCAAAATTAACCAATAATGCATGACAACGTCTTGTTCAGGTTGAAACCATCGGTGATGCCTACATGCTGGTCTCTGCATGGCCTACCGCTCCGTAATGGCAACCGTCACGCCGGTATGATCGCCTCCGCTGCATGGCATCTGCTGGAAGGTGTTAGTAGTTTCATTGTGCCGCACAAACAAGAGGAGAAACTCAAACTCCGAATCGGTATTCACTCAGGTAAGATCATTTTCTTTGCTTGCGGTCAAGGATGGATTGCAAGCAGGGGGTGGGGTGTGACACCCCCACATTCAAAATTTCTGTCAGCAAATCCATAATTGTTGTCGGCAAATTTGTAAAATTGAGGGCCTTTTAATATTATTGTACTGTTGTCGGCAATTTTTTTTTAGGGAGGGGCTAGTCAAATATTTTATTGCAAGTTTGTCAGCAAATTTTACTTTTCATACCTCCCATAAATTTTTCTGTCAACAAATTTGTTAATTTGAGGACCCTTTTTTTAGCATGTCGGATGTTTTGTACGCAAACTTGTCGACAAATTTGGTCCGACACCCATTGAAAATGTACATTACAAGTCTAAGTCACAAGGACATCTCAAGTCCAGTCACAAGTACATCACAAGTCCAGTCACAAGTACATCACAAGTCCAGTCACAAGTACATCATAAGTCCGGTCATAAGTGAATCACAACTTCAAGCTCTGCTCACGCTATTTGTGCTTGAGAATGTTGTGTATGTATGACAATTTCTTCATTGTTTTGGACTTTTTCAAGGATCTTGTGTGGCGGGTGTAGTTGGCCTGACCATGCCTCGATATTGCCTCTTTGGTAACACGGTCAACACAGCGTCTCGTATGGAGTCTAATGGACTCGGTAAGTAAAATCTTGTTACTCAAGATATCTCAAATAATGCTCATATATAGATTGGAGAAAGTGTACGCACAAACGTAATTAAGCATGAAGTGTGAACCAGCCTCACCTCATGTTGGAAAGCTTCATTCCATTGGCGCTGTGGACCCCATGCACGATACTTTGAAGCTGTCCTGGGCGCAGACATTTTGAATTCATGTGCGTGTTTGTGGAACATAATGAAATCACACGGAATGGATTTCAGATAATGTGCTCTACTAAAAGGCAAGGCGCAAGTACATTACGCCAACAACGTAAGTGCGTTTTCTGTGAGTATGACGGTAAAAAATGTTACAGCAAATGTCATCTGCAGCACCTATGAGTTTGAGTTTGCGTAGGTTTGCGCAGAGCAAAATGAAACGCTCATGTACTAATTGTGCTTTTTGGTTGTGGGCGTATCGGCTTCGATAACGCACTGGTATAGAATACAAATGCAGATATGTAAATAGCCGTACTAAAGCCATACTAAATTTCGAGTTTTCCTAGGTTTGTGCACAAATATGGATGCGCCCAACTGGGCTCAATTTCATGGCTCTAATACCGTTAGCAAAAATCCGTGCTTACTATAGCAGAAAATTCCCTGCTGGCGGTAAGCGTATTTCACGGGTTAGCAAGGAATTTTGGCTTGTGCACATGCGTATGTCCTGTACTAGGATTCTGTGCTTATAGGGTTAGTGCAGAATTGTGCTAGCGTGGTGAGCACAAAATGATGATCGTAAGCGTGGAATTTTGTGGTAAGCAGAGCCATAAATTTGGGCCATGCAGGCTTCGTGTGTACAGCGAGTTAGTGCTCTAGTAATTTATTATAGCTCTATGGTATAACCCAACTTCAATTATTCATGGAAAATGTTCATGATATTTTATATTTGTGAGCCGAAATATTTATTTTCCCTCACCCTATCAATTTAACAGCGCTCAAGATTCACGTGAGTCCTGAATGCAGACAGGTACTGGAAGAACTTGGAGGATACAATCTAGTAGAGAGAGGACTGGTTGCCATGAAGGTATGGCATTTATTTTGATTGCGTAGATCCTTTCTTAGGGTTCGTTCAATTAGCTCACCCGGGTCGACTCGGATTAGCCCTGTGCCGTTTGATTAGCTCTGACGTCATTCTCAGGGCTCACCCGGGTCAGCCACCACAGACCCTGCTCGTGGAGCAGAGTCAGTGGTGGAGATACGTCACACGCATGTGTTGTTCATTCCGTAGAAACGTACAAATGGCGAAGAGGACCTAAACATCAACTTTATTTGAAGTTGAAACATAATTATTTATTGATCTCATTGCGATTTTAGAGGCTATAATTCCAGCTTAGCATTTTTACTTATTTCAATTGACGGAAAAGCAGTAAATCTGAAGAAAAAACTCAGCATATGAATTCCTTTGGGGAACTAACCCACCGGGCCGCTTTTTATGTGCAACCTCTATGAGAGAACGCGGCGAAAAATCATTAAAAACGGGCCTTTTTTCACATCTGTCGCCACCACTTCATTATTCTACAGGGTATACCTTAGATCTCACTACAGTGTGACCCTAACAATATACTCTTTCAGAAAATGAAAGAAAAACTGAATAAAACACTGAGTTTTACTCGCGTATTGATGTTAAACATTGCATTTTTAGTCAAAAATCTCCCTGTTTTGTGTGTAAACCACGCGTTCAGCCAAGAACTGGTCCATTAAAATCATCGTAACGTTAAATAGCGCCACCTGGGAGCTTAGATCTCTCGAGTCATTTTTCTTCGTCTCATCAGCTTTCCAACAATATAACCCTTATTGTGATTGGTTAAGGTTTAGGCTCGCGTGTATTCACTTACTAAAGAATTGTACATCTAAACTCCAATAAAATTTGCCGTTGCTCAATGGCTCAGCGCGTAGGGTCTGTTTATTGTACACGTGCTAGGCAGCGCTACTGTATATACACAGAGCCCGGGAGCTCTTATCTCTGTGTGTCCAAGGTCATCTGGCTGTGCGCTTTGGCCAGTTTACATGGGGTCCTTTTGACCACAAAGGATTTGATATGTTTGAAAAGGGCATTTTGTCAGTGGCTACGGCCGGGGCTACAGACGTCACGTGAGGATCGTGATGGCCTGCATTCTGCATTTGAGCGTTTCAAAATCAGTCTGCCTTTAGCCGAGTTGATCCGGGTGAGCTACTCGAATGCACCTTATATTTGATTGACCAACTATAACTGTTTAAATGCTCGAACTTAAAAGAAGTATTGACTACTTTGGTTGTTGTGATAAAACTAGCCTCCTGAGATGATCCATTCAGCGTTCTTTATTCCCGAGGTAATACCCAGGGAAATTGAATGCTCCATGGATCACAGAGGGAGGCTAGTTTTACTACGCTATCAGTTAAAAGCAGTCAGTATTTGGTTTTTTTATGCCCCATCCACAGATACTACTTGTTTTTGCTAGATAACTGAATAATTTACCCGAAATGTCATAAAAACGTACCTCAATTTCAATATGAAAGTAATTGAAAATTTCCTCGTACTTTTTCAAACTACCCCTTCATGAAGTGTTGGAACAAAACGCCCAACATGCAAAACCCATAATATGCATACACTGCTGTTGCTATGTTGGTTGCTACGTGCAAAGAACTTTGTCAGCCTTGACTAGTCTTTTTAGTGGTTGTATTGTCTTTTGGGCTGTGTGTAACGGGGAAAAAAAGGCTAAGAAAACAACTGGTTGAAATGATTAGGTTGCAATTTACTTTTAGAAACTGGGACAAAAAAGGATAGAAAATCAAGGAAACAAAATAAACTTCTCAAAAATGTAATTAAGTCTTATTAAAGAATATCCTTCACATTCAAAAAAATAAATTAAAATCCTGAATGAACAAACTAGTTTAAAAGAAATCTCAATCTGGATCAAACAACGAATTAAAAACTCAAAAAGGAATTTGTCATTAACAAATTAACAATTGGATTAAATTTTAGGAGAATATTAACAACTAAGGTATTAAAAAATGGATTGACAGAAAAAAATTTAACCAAGGGGAAAAAAAGCCAATGTCATACATAACTGTTCCAGTACCAACGATACAAACGCTATTGATCAGTATTGTAGTTGAGTATTTTTTTCCAAGTACCGAGTACTGCCCAGTCCTTAAGTTACTGAGTACAAGTACTTTTTCTTCTGAGTACAAGTTCAGGTCTCTAAGTACGAGTATTTGTACTTCTAAGTACGAGTACAAGTACTTGTATTCCGAGTACGAGTACTTCTATTTCCAATACGGCCATACGGCCATGGTTCATTGTGCATAATTGTCCCAGGCCCAGTCAGACCGATATACAGACCCACTCACAGCTAGCTGTTAAATGTGTTTGTCCGGACGTACACAGAAAAAAATCAGCAAACTTTGATGTCTCTGCAAGTAAATCAAACATTTCCAACTGAAAATATCGATAATAAAATAAGGCCGTGGTAAGTCAATCTATACCATTTTTTTTTAGTACTGCTATTCAAGTACGAATACTTTGATAAGCAAGTAAAAATTCATCATGTCAAGTATGAGTACTTTGCTGCCCGAGTACAAGTACCGTCATTTCGAGTACGAGTACTTTCACATTCAAGTATGAGTACGAGTACTACAACGCTGCTCTTAATTCAAGTTCAGAGTTCAAACATGCAGTCTGTCCGCGTTAACTACGGAAGCACAAAATGGACATTGCACAAATGTTTTGTGTGATGGTCGTAAGTTTTGTGATCCAAGGAATTAACAAAACATGCAAAATTTACAAAGCTTTGAATTGAATATTTACTTAGTCACATGCCATTATGTTACATATACAATGTACTTTTACAAAATGAAGATTGGCGAAATTTGCTTCATTAAGAGTTAAGACATTTCATATTACGTGACATAAAAGTTATGGACTTTTTTATTATTATAACATTAAATACAGTGATTTTTTTACGACATTACAGTAGTAAAGTTAATTTTGTGAATTTACGGTCCCTTCAATCTTAAAATAGTTTGTCAGCAAAAACTGTTCTACGGATCAAGAAACATTGAACACTTTTTCTCTTTCTACACTGTTGATGATTGGATTTCTCTTTTTCCGATACATTATTACTGGAGAGTACACCATAGACCTACTCACACATTTGTTGGGACCGAAAACATGTGGGACCAGCAGAAAGTCCCCATAACTCGGTCCTAATTTGCCTAACAATAAAAAACGTCCCCATAACGCGGTGTAGGCCTACCCAGGCCAACGCACATGCCAAAATGCATTGAGGGAGATTAACTGAAACACACCAACGTTACCAGTTAATTCAATTTCAAACGGGTTTTACAATCTGAGTAAATATTATAATTTCATGAATGTAGCTGGTTCAACTACAACAGGTCATGTTCTGCTAGGCCTTGTAAAGCAAATCATCAGATGCAGGTTAGCCCCGGTTCAAATATAGCAGTTAGTTTTTCGGAGGGCCATCAGGCAAATCACATCCGCTCAAAGATCTTAACAGAGTGTAGGTCAGCAACAACTACGTCGCCAGCGGGGGTGAATACCATTCCTAACGGATTGAACAACCTTGAGCTACCGTTGCTACAAGTGCACCATTTGAATCGTATCGCTGCACTTCAGAGTCTTCCCTTTTTCCAGGATGAACAACAACATAGATGGTCTCATCATCATCGCACAGGACACCAGCTGGCTTAGCAGCTTTGCCATTCACGAATGTCTTGACACTAAACATCTCTTTACCTTCAAAGTTAACGCAAAAAAAACTTTGGCCCTCGAAGTTTGCGAAGACTAAACAGCCAAAATTGCTTATTGCCAAGTAATAGTCAACCATGCTATTCGAGATACTTGAAATCAATGATCCGTCCAGGTTGTGGACACTGATGAGCTTTCTCCCCCTGTCAGCGACTGCTACTCGTTGACTGTCAACAGCAACACCAGTGAGGTAACTCTCTGATTGCCCATCCGCATCGTCAGCCGAAGGCGTAAACTCGCGAACAAACTGGAGCTCATTGTCAAAAACCTTCACTTTCTTTTTGTCCGTGACGAAAAGCAGATCATCATGGGTCATGGCAGCGCCAAAAGGAGCTTCCAACTGATGCTTAGCATCTCCCTGAGCGACCGATGTTTTATACTGACCAGTTGAGCTAAACAACGATAACCGTTTTAAAATTGTGTCAGTTACTACGATGTCTCCATTTCTGAAACATGCAACAGCCGTGGCGAAGTCAAATTCCTCGTCACCGGTACCTCTTTTGCCGAACTCTTCCTTTAACTGCCATTTCTCACTGACACAGACCTCCCCAAGATCTGCATCACTCACAACGTCTTGAAATCTGACACCAATGAATGACAGACCATAATTCGCCGGTTCACACTTGAGCTCCTGGAATTCCAAGTTGTGCATCACCTTTGGCTTGAGCTCCAAAAGCTCAAAATCATCGGCTTGACTCATCAAGTCATTTACTGCCGCGATGGTCTGATCTGCGCGTTCCATCTGCTCATGGTTGTGCGTGAGCGCCTTTTCGTACTTACTGACTCTCTCCTGACCGATTTCGTTGACCTTGTCGGTGAGAAGCTTTGCTTTGTTTCTGATTTTAGTGATCTCTGCCTCCGCTTTTGCATCAATATCACTACGAGCCTGAGCCAGTTTCTTTTGTAATCTATTTCGTGCATGTTGGATTGACTTTTCAGTAGATTTGAAGTGCTGCCTGCTCTTCTCGAACTTCTGCAGTATGTTTTCAACCTCACTGCGGAAGGACCTGATCAGGTCATCAATGTTTAGGAAATTGTGCTCTGCCGACCGATGACCTAATGCGGCACACATTGAGCAGATTAAGGTGTCGCATGTGTCACAGAAGAAACACAGAGGATGGTCATGGTGGATCGTACACATTCGGGTGATGGGTTTGCTGTGTTCTGCTGGAGGGATCTTAGATTTGTGCCAATCTCCCAATGAGATGATTCGATGGTCTTTGGTGGACTTGACCCTCTCATGGGCTTTCCGGCATTCCTGGCAGAGGTTATCACTACAATCAAGACACCTCCAAATGACCTCCTTGCCTTCTCCGCAGTCACATGTGGCGGTAGGTGCCGATGCATCTCCTAATACTGCCTCCTGTTGTTTGACCTCATCGACAAGAGAACTAAGAAAGAAAGACGAAGAAAGACTCTGCAATCCTCCATCAGGAACTTGCGTCTCTCTCCTGCAGACTGGACATGTTATCTTCTCTGCCCTGGCTTCTGTTTGCTCATCATCTCTTCCAGACACTTCAGACAAAAGCTGTGCAGACAGTCCAGCATCTTGGGATCCTTGAAACGACAGCAACAGATCGGACATTCCAGATGTCCCTGGCTGATCTTGTCCAAGACAGTTCTGGCTGCAGCCTCCGCCATATTTCAGATGTGACCTGATCAAAACAGAACAAACCCGTGTCTGAAAAAGCTCAAAATTATAACAAACAAGTGATTGCCCCATAGAGCTGTGCATCAGAGCCGGGTACCCGAGTACCCGACCGTTAATGTCAGGAACCAGTTCCAGATTATGGAATCGAGTACCCATAACCAACTTTGCAAATTACTTGGTAACTTTTCAGTCAATGAAATAGTGTTTTGAATGTCAGTGGGAACATTTCAAAATAAAGAACAGGATACATGGAAAACCAAAACCAATTTCACGTTTTATGATGCTTGCGAAAGTTGTAGTTTTCACCACCTAGCTACAGAGCACATGTATACACCCTATCTAGCCGTATTGCCGCAACGATGCGGTAGTCTAGTACTATCATGCGGACCTTTATGAACAATCTGAACAGCAACTTCCCAGATTTGAATGTTTGGCTTGGGTTTCTTTAACGGGTACCTGGGTACCCGTATTTTTTTCAATAGGGTACCCGGTTCCTTTACTGCCCGTAAGTGCACACCCCTTTGCCCCCATTTCTTTTACCGCACACCGTACCAGCCTGGAAATCTAAATGTAACAGGAGATTCATTTGTATACATTGACTGCATGCTAACTCATTGGGAGTTAGAAATAATAAAATGGGAGTATAGGCCCTAATATGTAAAACAGGACCAAAGATAAACACTTACATTTCAGACTTCGACTCAGAAAACAGAGATGAAACTGGCATGTGGCAAAAAAATCGGAAAAAAGGCCGAACAAAAATACATGTCCGAAATCTGGGCCGCGCTGCCATTACACACATATACATGCATGTACAATACACTTCATGCCCAATTTCCGGACACCAACTCCTGCTTTATTTTTTATTCAAACAAAATTTTACGATGAAAAAAAAAATGGTCAGCGTTTTCATTGCATAAAATGCCTGAATGACGGTTAGAGTAATGGAGTCATCAATAAAGAAGTTCACTTCTTACTTGAGAAAGTCGAGGGAAAAGTCCGAAAGATAAGGGCACTGTTCATGGTGCTTCAATCATGTCCATGATTCAACCACTTGCATTCATGCATGGGAAAAAAATCAGGCATTACCGTCTTTCTCTTCCAACAAATGCCAGTGAAATGTTTCGCTAATGCTCTCTTCGCTGTCCTCGAGATATTCATCATGATTTTTAAAGCATTGCATTTTGTACAACTGAATCTGAAACCTCCGAAAATCGCACAACATAATGATTTTATCCACAGGATCCTTCACAAGGCTACCCACTGAAAATGCCATTGATTCAAGTTCACAGTTCAAACAGGCAACTCTGTCTACGGAAGCACAAAACGGACATTGCACAAATATCAACACTGCATGTGTTTTTATAACTCCTGACGCATGTATACATGTTAAGATGCATACCAATACGATTTTACATTTTGAAAGATATGAAAATGGAAAAAGGAGGGTTAAAAATAAGAACTGAAAACAAGGATGTGTTAAAGTATCCACGATATAAAGTTAAAAATCAGGAAATATATACCCAACGTTTCACGCATGCGTACTATTATAGTGACTGTTACCAGTTTTAGTAGGAAAAAAAGCACTTTGTAGGGGTAAGGTGGCTTGGCTTTTTGTTAAATCCTGGACACAACAATAGCCCATTATTTAAAGAACATCAGAGTCCAGGCACAAATGATCGAGACCCAAGTAGGGTCATTACAGCAAAAATAATAAACAGAAAAGCAACCCTTAGTACAACTGGTCGGACAGCCTGTGGCATTATTCTTTCTCTGACATTGCGCTGTTATTGTGAAGACAACGATAAAAGAAGGCCATTTCCAAAAATATGTCAAATGACACATTTTTGGAAATTTCCGTTATTAGTTGGTTTGTAATTGGGCGAATCCGTGAATTGCTGCGCAAGCGTTGGCACGACGCACACGCGCACACCATTGCTATCATTTGTCAGTTCAGTGTTTGACACACATAGCTCTGCAGCAATCGGCTAAATGAGAACGTGTCCCGGATGCTGATTTTGGGCCCAATTCAAAATGTGACCCGCAACTTTTGAATTAAAATTGAGATCCTAGAATATAATTTCCTCTGATTTTTACACAGCATTCACAGAGCTAAATTTTCATCAGGTAGTTGTTAAGCACTCGTCTTTAGATTTTGAGCACTTTTGTTGCTTCAAATGGAAAAAATGCACAAATGACTGTTGTGTGGTAAAACTAGCCTCCTGAGATGATCCATTCAGCGTTCTTTATTCCCGAGGTGACACCCAGGGAGATGGAATGATCCATGGATCACCGAGGGAGACTAGGTTCACTACAAGTTTGAAGCAGTCAATATTTGTTTGATAATGCCCCAGCCACAGATTCTGCTTGCTTTTAAGAGATAACTGATTAATTAATAAAAATGTACTTCTTTTTCAGTATGTAAGTAATTAAAAACTTCCTTCCACGTTTGCAATACTACCCTTTCGTGAAATGTTTGACTCTAACTTTGAAGCACGTGGGAACAAAACGCGCAACATGTAAAACCTGTAACATGTATGTGCCTACAATGCTGTTGCTATGTTGGCTGCTAAGTACATAGTACTTTGTCAGCCTTGAACAGTCTTTTTAGACGTTGTATTGTCTTTTGGCTGCTGTAATGGCCAAAAAATGGCTCACTAAAAATCCTGGTTCAAATGATTAGGTCGTGATTTACTTTTAGAAACTAGGACAAAGAAGAAAAGGCATCAATGAAACAAAATAAACTTCTCAAAAATTTAATTAGTCTCATAACAAAAAAAATCCTTCACTTCAAAACACAATTTAAATCCTTAAATAAAAAGACATTTTTCTCAAATACTTCAAAAGAAATCTCAATCTGGATCAAACAACGAATAAAAAAACTCAAAAAGGAATTTGCCAAGGAAGAAAATAAACACTTGGATAAAATTTTAGGAGAATGAGAGAAAAAACTAAGTTGTAAAAAAATGGATTGATAGAAAAAAATTAAACCAAGGGAACCAAAAGAAACCCACAGAGCACAATTGGAAAATCATTCTAAAAGCACAAAATGAACTAAAAAAAAAATGAAAGGACAAGCAAACAAACCCAAGCAGGGAAACCACTCTCTAGGTAATAAAATAAAAGACTAAAATGTTAACTTGTCTCTCTGCTGGTCTGCTGAACTAAATTAAATGAGGGTCTAACATGGGGAAGCTTATAGAGGAGGAACATGTTTGCTAAAGTAAACAAACAGGGGGACACACTTCCAAGAAAGGGGGGGGGGGGGCATCTAAACTTCGACTAAAATGATTTTTTTTCTAAGGGGGGCTACTCTTTTTTAATACACTATGAAAAATCACAAGTGCAACTTGGCCCTGCCACATGTGCACGTGGCATGACAGTAAAAATAGTGAATGCCAGAGACATAATCTGTGGGTGAGATATAAGAAATTTTGAAATTTTGAAACCTTAGGTCCATTAAAATTGAGCACCTTTAATCTGTATATAGATTTGAAAACCATGTGTAGACAATATTAGCCTTAATGAGACAAGACAGACACATCAGGTGGATGCTTTACGGTCTTGGTAAAATTTGGGTAAATACAAAAGCGTTTACCAAGACTAACTAGGTTAGCGCCCTCGAGTTGGGTCCACCATACCTCAAAGAGCATAGAGTACCAAAGTGTGCCGCATATTCTGGGTCTCACGCATACGTCGCATAGCTAAAGTGTGTGGAGACATCAGCGCACAAACCAGCGAGTGAATCAGAACAAATTCAGCTGACGTCAGACTTTGGTACTCTATACTGACCGGCTGATGAAGGTAATAGGTAAACTCCTGAACAAGACCAGGAACTTGCTTGCCAAATGTAATTAAAGGAAGAGAAGATCATTTGCAGCTATCCAAAAAGTATTAAACTGACAAAATTATATTTTATGCATACTTGGTTTAAAGATAGTAATAATGGCAATAACTCATCATGGGAAAAACCAGTTGCTATTTTAATCTCACTGTACACGACCGGTACGTACATGTACACTTTTATGTACATATCATTATGTAGGCTATAAGCCAACGTCATGTACACTATTCCAGTACCAACAATACAAACGCTATTGATTCAAGTTTAGATTTCAATGAGGCAGCCTCTATCTCCGTATTTACTACGGAAGCACAAAATGGACATTGCACAAATGATGTGTGTGATAGGTCGACAGTTTTGTGATCCAAGGAATTAACATAACATGCAAAATGTGCAAAGCTTTAAATTGAATATCTACATAGTCATGTGCCATTGTGTTTCATATTCAGTGTACTTTTACAAAATGAAAATTGGCAAAAAACGCTTCATTAAGATTTAAGACATTTGATATTACCTATATAAAACTTATGGACTTTTTTTATTATTATGACATGACAAACAGTGATGACCATATTTACAACGTTACAGTAGTAAATTCAATTTTGTGAATTGAATGCCGAATTTTAAGAAGTTACGGTCCCTTTAATCTTAAAATAGATTTTTAGCAAAAACAGTTCATACTGGGTTTATTTTTAAGAAACATTCAACCCTTTTCTTTTTCCCAACTTTTTATCAACGATTTCTTCCACGATTTCTCTTTCTGACTTTATTACTGGAGAGTACACCATAGCTACTCACACATTTTTGGGGACCGAAAACACTGTGGGGTCAGCAGAAAGTGCCCATAACTCGGTCCTAATTTGCCTAACAATAAAAAACTTCCCCATAACGTTGTGTAGGCCCACCACAGAGCTATATTAAATTACTAGAGCGCTAATTTCGTGTACAAAGTAATGCCTGCTGGGCGCATCCATGTTTGTGCATAAACCTATGGAGACCTAGAAATTTTGTACGACTTTTGTACAGCTATTTGCATAATATCTGCATTTGTATTGCCTACAGGTGCGTTATCGAAGCCAATATGCCCAAA